CCTTCAAGGTCAATCCAGTCGCTTCAAGGATCCCATCCATCCATCTTGCCCTTGGTTGGCCCCTCTTCCTTTTCCCTTCTATTTTCCCCAGCATCATTGTCTTCTCTAAGCTTTCCTTTCTTCTCATGATGTGGCCAAAGGACTTCATCTTGGCCTCTACTATCTTTCCCTCCAATGAGCAGTCAGGCTTTATTTCCTGAAGTATGGACTGGTTGGATCTTTTCACTGTCCAAAGCACTCTCAGAACTTTCCTCCAGCACCACATAGAATCATAGAGTTGGAAGAGATCTCATGGGCCATCCAGTCCAACCCCATTCTGCCAAGAAGCAGGAATATTGCATTCAAATCACCCCTGACAGATGGCCATCCAGCCTCTGTTTAAAAGCTTCCAAAGAAGGAGCCTCCACCACTCTCCGGGGCAGAGAGTTCCACTGCTGAACGGCTCTCACAGTCAGGAAGTTCTTCATGTCCAGATGGAATCTCCTCTCTTGTAGTTTGAAGCCATTGCTCCATTGCATCCTAGTCTCCTGTGCAGCAGAAAACAAGCTTGCTCCCTCCTCCCTGTGGCTTCCTCTCACATATTTATACATGGCTATCATATCTNACCTGTTGAGTTCTCCTCCTCCATGGCTCCAAATGGTGAAAGTGTCATCCACATCTCTGAACCATCTCGTGGGCTTTTTTGTTGCTGTTTCCAGGGCTTCAAAGTGTTCCATGCAGAAATTAGATTGCCCTTTGATTCTTCCCTGCAGCCTCCTGGCTCCGCCGGGATGCATTTGCAGGCAAATTGCACCCTCTGCTGGCCTCTGCTTAGGACCCATGTGCAAACCCCTTCCCCAGATGGGAGACCTGGATAAAGAGCAGCAGAGAAAACCAGTCAAGCCTGACCTCTCCTTAGAAGCCAAAGTGACATAATGGGGTCAAAGAAGACAATAAGGCGCACTAGTAACATGTAAGGGACAGCTGGTGTGGTGCAATGTTTGGGGGGTTGGACAATGACTCTGCAGACCTGGGTTTGTATCCATGCCCAGCCATGGAAACCAGGTGGTTGACCTTGGGCAAGTCACACCCTCTCGGCCTCAGAGGAAGGCATTTGAACACATTTTACCAAGACACCAAGCCTTAACCTGGAAACGCACACAATGTCAACAACATGGAAAGCCTTGGGGGAAAATGAAGACCGCTGTACAAATGGAATGGCGACGTTTGTTCTTTTCAGTTTGCAAGGAATTCTTGATTTCATCGAGGTGCAACAAGGGGAACCAACTTAATATACATAGTGTGTGAGCATCTACTCAAAGGGAAGGTTCTGAAATGAGGAACTTGAGGGCGCATCTACCCTGTAGAATGCAGTTTGATGCCACTTTAACTGCCTTGGCTCTATGCTATGGAACCCTGGGAATTGTCATTTGTGTTGGGTTTCATCCCTGGACTGCACAAGTCACTTCTGTCATCAAGTTTCCAGACCTCAATGAGTAGATAGACTAGAGATAGGACCAGGCTGAAAGATTCCTTCCCCCACATTCCTATGCATGTTTTCTCAAAACGCATTTGTCTTTACTCTTCCTCCTTGCCACTGTCTCTTCCCCCTGTGATGATGTGGGAATGGAAATCTGTGAGGGAACATCCTCTTTAAGTTTTATTGCCCTTGGGTTGACCATGCGGTCTCCACCATTTCTTCTGCCTTTGCTTCCTTCCAGTAAGGACACATTTTGCCTCTCTCTAGGCAAAATGTAGCTGCATGGATCTTTTTGCCTTTTACCTCCTTCAGAAGATGAGATTTAGGAAGCTAGTGAACTCCAAGACCTTTCCTATCAAGAATGTTTTCATTTTACTTCAATAAATATTTTTGAACCTAAAGTTCTGACTTTGCAATTCTGTGCCATCCTAAGGAATTATTCCAGCACATCACAGGTAAGTTTCTGCTGGTTCGGGAGTTTACTCCTGGTACTCTGCTATATTTATGGTGGAATAACCCCAAGGGAGGGTTATTTTTGAATCTAACAGCTCAAATTCCCCAAGTCTGATGAGCCACCGGTACACTCTTGGCAGAGAAGGCAAAGGACCTTGAAAAACTACAACACCCAGGACTCCATTGAGCCATGGCTGCTAAAGTAGTGCCATTCATTCTACAATGTAGATGCACTTAACATCTCACCCAACTAACACTCCCATGTTTCCATAGCACTGAGCTATGGCAGCTAATGTGGGATCAAACTGCATTAATTCTGCAGGGTAGATGCACCTGAGATGCAACAAAACTCTTATCTGGAGTGCTGATGGGAGTCATGCCTGTTCTACTCTAGTTCCATCCATTAAATCAGACCACACCAGGTCAAAGAAAAGAGGGATAGTGGAGACAGGTGGGCATCTAGTCTAACCCAATTGAGGCAACCAGATCCCACCAACAAAAGGGTCCAAGCACCAGCCCCATCCTGGATTTCCTGAGCCTTAGCAGTGCTGAGGAAGAGAAAACTGTTCCAGCAGCAAAACTGGAACTTTTTGCAGAAAGAAAGCAACACCCACAAAAGAATTGCTGCAAATGTTTCTCAAATTGGAACCACAAACACAAATAGGAAAAAAGCGGTTCAAAGTCGCCACCTGCTGGCTACTGAAGGCTCCAAAACAACCACCTCTGAAAATGCAAACCTGTACTCCTTTAAAGCAAAGGCTGAACTGCCTTCTGTGTTCTGCATGGCAGGGGGTTGGACTGGATGGCCCTTGGGGTCTCTTCCAACTCCATGATTCTGTGCAGATTACAGGTACAGACTGAATCTCCTGTATCCAAAATGCTTAAGACCAGAAACAGTCTGTACTTCAGATTATTTTGGATTTGGGGATGTTTGCATATAGATCAAAAGATATCTTGGAGATGGGACTCAAATCAAAACTTGAAATTCAATTATGTTTCATGCACACCTTAGTCACATGGAGCTGGGTGGGACTCTTCCCGGAGACCATAACCTGCAGTCTTTGCTGTTGCCGAAGTTGGACTAGAATGTCCTTATGATCTCTTCCAACTCTATGTCATGATGATTCTGGGATTCGTTTAAATCCACATTAAATCCCATTCACTAGGCTCTGGGGGACACAGTTGGAGGTCCACCAGTTGACACCAGTTACAAAATGATGGTGGGGAGGGGAGCCAAGGGCCACAAGCTACTGTTTCCTTGCAAACACTCACCCAAGCAATTATTCAGGGACTGTCCCCATAGAGGTCCACCCCCTTCCCCAATCTAGGATGTGACCTCTAGCATTGAAATGCACAAATCACTTTTGGCAAAGGAAAACCCTGTCCTGTGAGAGTGACATTTGCCTGACTCAACCCATCAGACACGTCCCAGTCCTTTGGAGCGAGTCCCTTCCAGGGGCGGCTCAACCATTATGCAGAGTAAGCATTTGCGGTATACTTTGTTTTGCCCAGGGGTGCTCTGGATCATGTCTCCTGGTGGCGGCACTTAGAATCATAGAATCAAAGAGTTGGAAGAGTTCCTCCTCCTGAGGTGAAAGCGAGGTGCTGCCGCCCCAAGGAGGCGGAGGAGGCAGCGGGGAAGGAGGGGGTCATTAGGCCCTTGGAGGAAGCAGCGGCGAGGAGGCCGCTGCCAAAGAGGGCCTCAGTGGTGGCGGCTTTCCCCTCGCCCCTCCGCTGCTCCATGCTCCTTCCTTGCCAGGCTGGGTTCCCAAGCCTGGCGCCCAGCCTGGCGAGGAAGGAGCGCGGAGCAGCGGAGGGGGAACGGGAAGCCACCACCGCCGAGGCCCTCTTTGGCAGCGGCCTCCTCCTCACCCCCTCTGCTGCTCCCTGCCTCAAAGGGTCCCTTCCTCGTGAGACTGGGCTGCCAAGTCTGGTGCCCAGCCTGGCAAGGAAGGAGCACGGAGCAGCAGAGGGGGAAGCTGCCGCCGCCGAGGCCCTCTTCGTGCCTCAAAGGAATATATATATATATATATATATATTATATATATATATATATATTAATATATTGTACTATTCAATTCCCACAATTCCAAACAGCCAGTATGAAGTCAAATTACCTAAGGGCCTATTACCCAGGCCCCATATATATAAGTAAGGCTGAGCCAAGGAAGAGAGATGCTTTTGAGCTGTGGTGTTGGGGGAAAGTGCTGAGAGTGCCTTGGACTGCGAGAAGATCCAACCAGTCCATCCTCCAGGAAAGAAAGCCCGGCTGCTCATTGGAGGGAAGGAGACTAGAGACAAAGTGGAAGTACTTTGGCCACATCATGAGGAGACAGGAAAGCCTGGAGAAGGGAATGATGCTGGGGAAAGTGGAAGGCAAAAGGAAGAGGGGCCAACCAAGGGCAAGGTGGATGGATGGCATCCTCGAAGTGACTGGACTGACCTTGAAGGAGCTGGGGGTGGTGACGGCCGACAGGGAGCTCTGGCGTGGGCTGGTCCATGAGGTCACGAAGAGTCGGAGACGACTGAACGAATGAACAACAACAACTATATATATATTCTTGTGGGGGTTTTTTTGGGCTATATGGCCATGTTCTAGAGGCATTTCTCCTGACGTTTCGCCTGCATCTATGGCAAGCATCCTCAGAGGATGCTTGCCATAGATGCAGGCGAAACGTCAGGAGAAATGCCTCTAGAACATGGCCCTATAGCCCGAAAAAACCCACAAGAACCTAGTGATTCCAGCCGTGAAAGCCTTTGACAATACATTGAACACACACACACACATATATATATATATTCAGTGATTGATTGGGGAGGGGGTGTGTGTCAAAATTCTGTTTGCTTACACTTTGAAAATTACCTGGGGCCACCCCTGGTCCCTTCCCCAGTTCACTCCAATTACTTTACGCCACGAGTGATGTCCCAGTCATGGGTTGTGTCATTCCAGGCTGTTGTCAGTAACCACAACGGAGGCTTGGAATTCCTTGACTTGTGATACATAAAAGGAAGTAGCTTTTGCTGTGACGTGTGGCTGGAGACAGCCGGGACCCGTACTTATTGACAGGTACGTTAAATGAGAGGCAGCTCTGCTCAGGTCACTTTATTGCACATGGCTGAGGCTGCCCCACTCCAATGCTGTTGTGGGGTGATGGTGGGGGGAAAAACAGTGGGAACCTGGGGTCACAGAAGCAGCTTCACTTAGAAGTTCTAACTGGCCTCTGCTCCTTCATCTTCCTTCTGCTGCTGGGGAGGAGGTTGCTCATGCCTTCCAGGGCAGAGCAGCCTTAGTGGAGCTGCGCAAGGTGGAGGTTCCCTCCAGCACCGGCCACAGCAAGCGTGGTCCCTCCAGGAGCCGATGCCACCACATGGACCGGCTTACTGGGCAGCAGGATCTCTCCAGCCACCTACAGAGAGACAGAGACAGAGGAGTCATGTGAGTGACAAGGAAGACAGGCTTTGCTCTCCACCACAGGCTCTCCTCGGTCTACAGCAGTGGCTCCTAACCTTTTTTGACCAGGGACCACTTGACCAGGGACCACTTTGACCAGCAACCACTTTGAGCAGGGTCCACTTTGACCAGGGATCACTTGACCAGGGACCACTTTGACTAGCAACCACTTGACCAGGGTCCACTTTGACCAAGGACCATCTGACCAGGGACCACTTTGACCAGCAACCACTTTGACTAGGGTCCACTTTGACCAGGGACCATCTGACCAGGGACCACTTTGACTAGCAACCACTTGACGAGGCACCACTTTGACCAGGGTCCACTTTGACCAGCAACCACTTTGATCAGGGTCCACTTTAACCAGGGACCACATTGACCAGGGTCTGCTTTGACCAGGGTCAACTTTGACCAGTGACCACTTTAACCAGGGTCTGTTTTGACCAGGGTCAACTTTGACCAGCAACTACTTAACCAGGGTCCGCTTTGACCAGGGTCCACTTTGACCAGAGACCACTCTCCAACATTAGTACCAAAAGGGTTACAAATCAGTTTTTGGTCAAATTTGGATTTGGTTTGGTTATTTGGTGTGCTGATTCAGAAAATTGCATTGGATAGACCACATCAGCTCTAGTTTCTGATACAGAACACATGCCATCCAGGAGTTGCCATCTGCTTACCCACAGAAAACCATATTTAATAAGTCTCTACACTTATGACAAGGTCTCACCTCTTCTCCTGGCTCAGGAGGACTCGCATTCACACCCAAGCCTCACAACAGCCCTGTGAGGCAGGCCAGGCTAGTATCACTGGGTGGGCCACGGTTGCCCCGACTCACCTTCCCTGTGCCGGTGTGGATGACGCTGGCCCCGCCAGTGCCGCTGCCTCCGGCCACCACCATGTCCCTTGCGCAGAACCGGGCGCCGTAAAGAAACTCCCCTTGAGTGGGGCTCCCGGGGAAGGGCAGGTCTTGGCACAGGCAAGTGGTGCGCAGGTCCCAGAGCTGCAGGGCGTTGCGCGGGACCCATGAGGCGGTCAGGACCAGGTCTCCCTGCAAGGGGAGGGGGAGAGAGGAGGCGAGGAGGGGGTTTCAGCTCCAGGCAAGTCCCGGAACCCTTCTGGGAATGGCTGAAGGGTCAGGCAAGACTAATGTTGCCTCCCCCTTATTGGTCTCATATCTAAGGAGTTCTTCAATTCCACATGTGAGTTCAATACCTGGTCCCAAGGTGGGGACACCTCAGGGCCACTCCAGATGCATTGAATCCTCAGGGACTCAAAGCTTGTCCCACTCAGGTGCAAAGAGGGGAGAGCTTGAGCCCAGTGCCTGCAAGCTGTAATTGCAGAAAGCCTGGTAGCAGCACGGCGAGAGCTGTGGGTTCTGGCTCTCTTTTGACACTCTGAACTCCTCCCTGCTGCTTCTGAAGTTGGACCTCCAGACTTACCCCCCACTCCCATCCATCCCCACACAGGAAGGGGATCGTGGTTTTGTGACACCCTGTGTGTGGGCATCCCATTTGAGGCAGCTGAAAGACAGTGTCCTGAAATGGCCTTAGGAGGCCCTGTGTAAGACTGTAGGATCTATATAGCAATATTAAATGACCACTCACAAGCCAGTTTTGCTTTGAAATGGATATATTGCTTGTATCTTTGCAGCAAAGAAAAACACTACTGACTTTTTCCCACCACCACTTCCTTTTATACACTTTTCCTGCCCAACT